TGGGGGGGTTATAACCCCCCCATCCCCCGTGTAAATTACGCCGGTGGCCTTGTGGGTTCCTTTTCATTATGACCAGTGCATGAATTGTCATCTGGGAACCTTTTTTGCTTTCTAAAACGTCTCTTTTTGAAATCTGTAGAAGCATCCATTTCAATGGCTATCCTGCATGCAATGTCAAGTGACTTCTGAAAACCCTCTTCTCTATACTTGAGTAAAAATGCTTTCAGAGACTCAATTAACCTAATGGCTGTGTCCATTGACACATCTGCTGCTTGTAGTGCCTTGCTTGCAAAGTTGATCTCTAATAATAAGTCATACCAAACTATGAGGCACACAAGGAACTCCATACTAACAATCTCATCAGATAGTGACTTTGCCTCTGAGACAATTTTGCTGTCTCCTGCAACTTCTTCAAGCTTTTGTAGTGCATCTAAAATCCCCCCCAATTGGAAACGCACAGCTTTGACAGAGTCTAGCTTTGCTTCCCACCGGGTGTCACTCAAAGGCTTCAGTGTGATGTCGACAAACTCTGTGAGAATGTCCCACCTCTTCACAGAAGACGAAAAGATAGTGTACAATCTTTGAAGAGTGCCAAAGAAAGTTAGACACTCTCTGTTGGATGAGGCTGCATCACATAACAAAAGATTCAGGCTGTGGCTACAACAGGGGATGAACAGAGCCTCTGGACATCTCTGTTGTATTAAAGCTTGGACACCCTTGTTTATTCCCCTCATATTAGAGCCATTGTCATAACTTTGCCCTCTGCAGTTAGCCAAATCCAACCCCAGATTTTCCAGCACCCCTATTAGTGTATGTGTGAGGCCTTTCCCAGTTGTGTCCTTCACAGCAGTGAACCCCACAAAAGACTCAGTAATAGTGACATTTTTCTTTTCATCTGTATCAATATATCGAATGATAACTGAGGCCTGCTCTTGCTTTGAAATATCAGGTGTGCAGTCCAGTTCCACTGCAAAGTACTTGGAGGCTTTGATCTGGGCAGAAATTTTACCCAAAACGCACTCTGATATTGAATCTAAAAATTCATTTTGAGTGCACCATGACAAATATCCAGTCATCTTTTTGGAGGCAGCCTTTCTAAGATGCTCTGCCAGTGTGACATCATACCGTGCA